AGATTTAAATGCTTTGGAACTTTTAAAAATATCTGATATCCATTTAGGAAAGGAAAGGAAAAATAAGCAGATCACTGAAAGCTAGACAGAATTAATTTCACTGCGAAGGCTTGTGGCAAAGATGCTGAAATGTCTTGGTGAAATGGTAAAATACAGCTTCTCAAAATGCCTGCATTTTCTCTGTGTAAAATATCAATTTTCAAAGGATTCACAGTACACCAATAAAAAAGATAAAGGGGTCTGTTAGTATCAATGCAACTCTGTGCAGTATTATTAGTATTGAATATGGCATATTGATAGAACTAACTTGCTTGAAATATTAACAGTAAAAGAATCCCTGGGTTCACCTTAGACATAAATGTAGCATTCAACGCTGCTAAGTAAATATAGAGCCAGCTCAGCAGAAATACTCCAGAACTGGGCATTTTCAGTGATCGCATTTACACACACATTCATGGACGGTCATGCATAGACTTTCCTCAAAGAGATGATGACTAATGTTATGCAATTATCATACCTACAGGCACTAAAAGTAAAGCAGTGGTGTATAAACTGTGATTACTGTCTAGAGATAAAGATAGATTTCCTTTTAAATTACATGTTTTGCTTTTAGATTCTGCACACAGTAATTGTCAGGGATGTTAGGGTCATGATTCAGTGCTGTGCAAGCGAAATCAGTAGGAAAGGAAAGATGTTGAGGAGTAGTAGCGCATAAGAACATCAGAAGAAACCTGCTAGATGAGGCCAAAGGTCCATCTAGTTCAGTATTCTGTTCTCACAGTGGCCAACCAGATTTCAGTGGGAATCCCTAAAGCAGGACGTGAGCGCAATAATACTCATATCAACCACAGTTGAGCTAGGATCCAGAGAGATCAGAGGACATCAGAAACGGACTCAACTGAATGCAAAACTCAGAACTGAGTACAGGCATCCCCCACAAGCGGGAGAGAGCTGGAGAGTCCTCATGGCTCATGAGGAGACCCTTCCCAGAGTCCAAAGAGGATGTTAATGAGGGGGAAGAAGCCCCAAAGAGACTGGAGGCACAGCGGGGCTTTGTTTAGGCTGCTCATCCTCCCTGCTCAGCCACTTTCCTATGTGTACTCCAGCCTCCAGGAGGCTCCAGAGATTCAGTTCTAGTTGTGGATATTTTTGGATAGAGTATTTTTGATATGGATTGTAGAGAGAAAGCGGCAGAGAGGGTTTTTAGAGGTTGCTCTCCAACAACACGATTTTCGCTTATGCTCATGTGGGCCTGGAACATAACAGGGGTCGTGCCTGTACAGTACACAGGAAACTATATTAAACCAGGTACCAGGAGGCTATGGGAACGTTGAATACATACAGTAAGAGGCATTCAGGAATAAGGAGATAAGGTAATATAAGACAGAGGCACAGTGGGCCTAGAGGAGATAGATATGATGAAATTAGCCAGATATGAACCATTTTTGGTTTGTGGCGTCGTCTTGCTTTGGGTACCCATTCAATACAAGGCTGTTGTCAAGAGGCAAGCAGCTGCAGTTATTTAGCTGGTTTCTGTAATGCTGTGAGCCAGTTGTGGGACAGGCAAAGTGATTGTAGAGAGCTCTATAGAGGCAACAAGTAACAGGAGGCCATAGATCAGGCATAGGCAAACTCGGCCCTCCAGATGTTTTGGGACTACAACTCCCATAATCCCTGACTACTAGTCCTGTTAGCTAGGGATGGTGGGAATTGTAGTCCCAAAACATCTGGAGGTCCGAGTTTACCTATGCCTGCCATAGATGCAAGAAGGGTACATATTACACATTGTGCCCACTGTACGCATATTTCTATGGCTAAGCAGGGAATTCAGACACTTGGAAAAGGCTCAGGAGAGCATGGCAGGTGGACCTGAGGGAAGGCTGCCTCCCTCAGGTCTGCTCCCCATGCCCTGTCCCCCCTGCAGCTGCCGCAGATTGGGTCTTTTGGGTGGACAGGTTTTGGCGGGAACCCGTGAGCTACTGAGGGGGACGGGGAGACAGGCAAAGATGGTGTGGCACACCCGAGGGGCCACAAGGGGCCACGTTAGGCCACAACCACTGCTCTCCAGGAAGGGCAGTAAACAGCCATTATTGTATACTGCCTAGAAACATATGGCAATGCAAATCAAATAATAATAAAATAATTTGCCTTTGTCCCTTATAACACAAAATTAAGTTCTACAATGCATTATTGGTGGGGAGAGAAAAAATCTCTTGACAGCCACTCCTACTGCTTATAAAGTGCAGAACCAGCTGCTGCTTAATGATATAAATGGCCCATCCCACAAACATCAGCTACTCCTTCCATAATATAAACCAAGTATATCACACCATTCTTACGTACCTCTCAGGCCTCCCCTGTTCTGCCCTTCCCTTAGCTCATCTTTCAACCGCTTCTTCATCCTCTCAGTGCCTCAGCCAAGGGATTTGCCCACGTTCCTAACCAACATATGGTGGGGATGGCGGGTAGCAGTTTTCCCATGCTTTCCCCTGTTCCATCTGCCTCGGTGGATGCCACCATTTGCATGAGGGAACTAAATAATGGAAGCAGCTGCGAGAGATCTAATACAGACATCAGAGGGCTTTAGCAGTGGCTGAGAGACGTCTCTCTCCCCCCCCCCCCCGTCCTCTTACTCCTCATGCTCATCTGTAGATTCCTTCATCCTCTGCACAAGACAAATAGTGAAAACATTCCCAGTTTTCATAGTTATAAAGCAGGGCATGTATTTACACTCATTTGCTTTCAAAAGCTTATGCAGCTCATGTTTATGCTGTTGTGTGACAAATAGCCTTCTGTAGCAAAACCCCCCGAAAAGTTCTATAACAAGACTTGACAGGAACTGTGCAGCTCCTTGTGACACAGACACTGAAACCACAATTACGGCAATGGTGGCACCCATCTCTAATTATGCAAATCAGCAGTGCAGTGCTGCCACAGTAGTTTGTTTAGAGAGGATGGACAATAATAGAATTATGACCCCTGCTCAGCTACTCAGTGTGACACAACAAAATGCTTACAGCAAAACACCATTATGTATCTGGCCCTTGAGATTCTTCCCAGGCCTACTCCCGCCCTGCCCAGGCCACCACCTGCTTGTCCTCCCCACCTTCCTCAAGTGCTTTTGCTTGGATGGAATATGTATTTGAACTGTAAGAACTGCAATTACACCTGTGTGTACATAAAATTTGACTTTTAAAGGCTCCTATATAGACTATTGCACCAAGTCACATCTCTTGCTTTGGCCACTTTTGCCTCTGGCCTGCACCAGGGCTGACCCACCCATGAAGCAAGGTGAGACAAACACCTCAGGCAGTAGGGTCCACCCAGGACAGTGGATCCAGATGTAGATCTTTCTTTTCTCCCTTGTTCCCAATCTAGATCTTCCCTGACCCTTTCTTTCCTGGCGGAGAAGAGGGCAGCACCATTTTGTGGTCTGTCTCAGGTGCCAAAATATATTGGGCCTGCCGTGCCCTGCACTCCACTGGCAGGTAGGCCCCATAAAGTAGTGCACGACACTGATGGAGACTTCCCTTTTCACTTAATGTGTACTTACGTTGAAATACTTTTTTAAAAAAGGAGAGAGAAATTTGTAAACCATAATTTTTGGAAAAGCCATCTCTGCTGGTCAGCCATCTCTTTTGTTACATATATTTTGGGTTAATAACCCCAAATGGTCCAGGTGATAGCTAACCGTGAAGAGATAGTTTAGCTATTTCTCAGCATGTGTAGGAATAAAATATTCATCAGAGCTTGTGGAAGCAGATACATGCACACAAATCCCAGGTAAGAGGAAGGAGCAGGTGTTTATGTAGAAAGACAGAGGCAGACAGAATATGTAAGTTGGGTAAAGCCTCCTTGAGGGCTTTTCTCTGAGACTGATGTGGGGCAGCAAATCTGCTGCCCTGTAGGAGTGCCAGCTAAGCACTACCACTTATGATCTGCTTGTATATTTGTAAATCAAGCAAATATTGGAGAAACACCAGTGATATTTCAGTCAATGCAAACCAGACCTTACATGTTGCATCTGGAATGCCTCACCTCTCAGGGAGGTAAGAAGCAATAGACCATAAGCCTCATATATGTAGCTCCACACATTGAATAATCTGTGTACAGCAGCTCACAAGCTGGGTCAGCCACTGCCACACAGTTTGCCTACAAGCCACTGCGAGGTATACAAGTTAAGAGATGTGCAGGGGAAAAGGTTGAATGGCATGTGGTACGTCATTGCACATGAATGGCTTGCTGTATGGTGCCGCACAGAATGCAGCTTCAAGTGACTTCCATTGGGGGGCCATGGCATATGATGCAACTCAATTCATCACCTTTCAAGACCCTCTTGTCTGCAGGGCAGACTCTGTAGGCCAGTCATACACTCTGTAAGCCTGTGACCCACCAGTCATAAGTGCAGATGCAGCAGTGAGCAGTGCTGAAATATTACTTGAAGGATGAAGAAGTTACCTAAATTGTAAAATTATGTTCATTAATTCATGATCCTCTAAAATGCTCTATGACTTCAGCTGGATTATTCATGAGTGTGCAGAGATTGAGGTCAATATTTGCTAGTTATGCCAATGCTTCTTGTACTGTGATCTATTGCAGGGTACTTTTTACTTTTTAAAAGATGTGATTAACTGATTTTTCCTGATACAGCCATGTGAAATTGGAAGTGAATAAAAAATGTTGTTTCAGCTAGAATGAAGAGAGAGAAATTAAACCGGGCAATAGATTATAAATTGTGCCTCGTTTTAAGGACAATAACTATGAAATAAGACTCAGAGACCTGAAATTGTGCACAGATTATGCTGCAATACCTACACTATAACTGGGATTAACATCATATGAAGTGTGCATTTTTTAATGCATTAAACTAATTTAGCAATGTTTGCAAAGTAAGTTATTGGTGCAAAAAATAAAATAAAATTCAATCTCCAGCAGTTCCAGCTGTAGAAAGTATTCTTTCAGGCTGAGAACTGATATAGTAAATAAATCCTACCTCCTATTCCCAGCTGGGATAGTACAGTCGGTAGAGCTGGAGACTCCTAATCTCAGGACCGTGGGTTTGAGCCCCATGTTGGGTGAAAGATTCCTTCATTGCAGGGGATTGGACCAGATGACCCCCATTGTCCCTTCCAACTCTAAAGTTCTATGATTCTCTTGCCTTAAATAGGCAGCTACGGAATGAATATTGATTCTCACCATTGGTAGTCAAGCCCCTGACCTACCCTTGTATGTCTTTATCATGACCTAGGAAACAAAAATGCATTTTTAACCAGCCCATTAAGTAAATCTAACCTGGAAAATGAAACTGATTGATTTGCAAAATGATTTAAAAAAAACAACCAGTCAGATCCTGGAAATGCCGCTTGGCAATGAAGCAATGAAACAATTGCTAAGCTAATAAAACGTGAGCTCAAACAAACAATAAGGAGCCTGCTGCCTGGAGCATGTCAGTTATTAAGCTTTGTCTCTTCGAACTTCAGTCCCTCCGTATCACTAAATAGTGACATCCTGCTAGCACTACTAACTCCCCTTATGCGCAATCCCGAAAAGGGGGGAAATAACTCTGCAGCCTTTCCAATAGTTACAATTCGGTTACAGAGACACTCCAAATAGTTTTATGATCATAAGGTCCATATATCACAAGGCTTTATATCAAGTCAGGCAGTTGGTCCATCTAGCTTGTGTATCTAATGGCAATGTAAACTTCATGTCCTGTGCCTCAATCAGTATGCCATTAATTTTGTGATATAGTAAGTTCTTTGAACGGGCCATTAGTTAGCAGGGACTAATTTATATGAAAACGACCATTTCAGGAAAATGCTGCTCAAGCTGGTATAGATCACAGTGACAGATGGCAGAGTTCTTCAGTGAAGAAACTTCCTCGGGGTTTGGTGGCATGACCACAGAAGTGAGCAATGTAGTGAGTTGCCTTTTGAAGGCTCTGTGGTGGAAATCATCTATCTAGCCCTTCCTGCATGAACATGCATGCAAAACTGCCTAGCTCTTTGGGAGTTAATGTGTTAGGAGAGCCATCTGGTTCCTAGAGGTGTTTGGAGAGTAGAATCTGCTAGAAACATTCTAAAATGGTTGTCTGTGTTGGAATGTGTGAAATGCCATAGTGTAGCGGTCATAGCCCCGCCACTTCCCATGGCTTTCAACTCTCTGACAATTCCCACTTAAAATTAAAAAGCAATCACTGTCTCCCTGATGATAGTTGTTGTCACTTGCCACCATCGCCACAGATAGGACACTGTCTTTTCCAGGAATGTTTCACTTCCACATCTAAATCCCACTCCTACTCCCGACTAAGCTTAGCAGTCATGGAATAAGAGGAGAGGTCCTCTTGTGGATTGGTAACTGGTTGAGAAATAAGAAGCAGGAATAAAAGGGCAGCTCTCCCAATGTAGGAATGAAGCAAGTGGAATGAATCATCCTCTGAGGATGATTATTAGGACTTGTAATTTTTAACTCATTAACAAATAAGCTAGAGTTAGGAGTGAACAGTAATGAAGCTAGGTTTGTGGACCATAACAAATTGTTCAGGGTGGTTAAAACAAAAAGGAATTATGAAGAGCTCCAGCCAGGGCTGGCCCATCCATGAGGAAGAGTGAAGCAGCCCTCCTCAGGCGGTCGAATATCATGAGGTGGTGCTTCTACAGGTACGCTGCATGCCCCTGCTGCCTCCGGGGTTGTGTGGTTGCGGCAGCTGCTTCCAGAGAGAGCTTGCTTGATTTCAACTCTCACAAGCTCTTCCTAGAACCCACAACAGCAGTGCAACCCATGTAAGCGAAGCTTCGACGGGGTGGGGTGTATGTGTCTGTGTGCCACATGGCAGGCACCTTTCTGCTTTGCCTCAGGTGGCAAAATGGGACAGGGTGCCCCCTGGCTTCAGCTGGGACCACAGCAGAGGGCAAGGTCTTGAAATTCCTGGGTTGGAGCTAGACACGTCAAAGCATAGCTGTCAACTGTTTCCCTTCTTTAAGGGAAATTCCCTTATTCCGAATAGAATTCCTCACAAGAAAAGGGAAAAGTTGACAGCTATGCGTCAAAGCAGCATTTCAGTTCAATGCGTTGTAAACTCATACAGAGAAATCAGTAGGGAGAGATGGGACTCCACAGCACCATCTGGTGTCACAGTGTTAAATCGTGTATACAACACATATAAAATCTTTACGAATCTGGCTGAGTCCCTGTCCTCTCCCCATCTGGGTCCCAATTTAGTTCTTTTTTTTTTTTTAAAAAAAATAATTTTTATTAAAGTTTTAAACAAAGAAAAAAGAAAAAGCAACACACACACAAAAACAATACAAAATTTAACAATAGAAACACACAACATAACAATTAAAAACAAACTCTCTTTTACGTTCCCAATTTTGAATTACTTATTTTCTGGACTTCCTCATACCTCCCTCTTTTGTATTCCAATCTACATTATTTGTCCACCTTTTTTAATTCATTATATATCATTTCCCAGAAAACCTTAATCTTTGGGCACGTCCACCAAAGGTGAAAAAATGTACCTTCAGTTTCTTTACATTTCCAACATTTGTTATCGGGCAAGTGATAGATTTTCGCAAGCTTGACTGGGGTTATGTACCACCTGTATATCATTTTCATAATATTCTCTCTTAAGGCATTACATGCCGTAAATTTCATACCAGTGGTCCATAACTGTTCCCAGTCAGCAAACATAATGTTGTGTCCTACGTCCTGTGCCCATTTAATCATAGCCGATTTTACCGTTTCATCTTGAGTATTCCATTTCAGCAGCAAGTTATACATTCTTGACAGATTCTTGGTATTGGGTTCTAACAATTCTGTTTCTAATTTTGATTTTTCCACCTGGAAGCCAATTTTCCTGTCTAATTTAAATGCCTCCATTATTTGATAATAATGAAGCCAGTCTCGCACTTTGTTTTTTAATTTTTCAAAACTCTGCAATTTCAGTCTATCTCCGTCTTGTTCCAAAATTTCCCAATATTTCGGCCATTTGACCTCCATATTGACCCTTTTCAAGGCTTTCGCTTCCATTGGTGACAGCCACCTTGGGGTTTTATTTTCTAGCAAATCCTTATATCTAATCCAAACATTAAATAATGCTTTCCTGACAATGTGGTTTTTAAATGCTTTGTGTGCTTTGACCTTATCATACCATAAATATGCATGCCATCCAAATACATTATTGAAACCTTCCAAATCCAAAATGTCAGTGTTTTCAAGAAGTAGCCATTCTTTCAACCAGCAAAAAGCTGCTGATTCATAATAAAGTTTGAGGTCTGGCAGGGCAAATCCACCTCTTTCCTTTGCATCTGTTAGTATTTTAAATTTTATTCTAGGTTTCTTGCCCTGCCAGACGAATTTAGAAATATCTTTCTGCCACCTCTTGAAACAGTCCACTTTGTCAACAATCTGCAAAGTTTGAAACAAAAACAACATTCTAGGCAATACATTCATTTTTATCGCAGCAATACGGCCTAGCAGTGAAAGCTTCAAGTTTGACCAAATTTCTAAATCTTTTTTCACTTCTGACCAACATTTTTCATAGTTGTCTTTAAATAAATTCCCATTTTTTGCTGTCATATTAATCCCCAGGTATTTAACTTTCTTAACCACTGTTAACCCTGTCTCATTCTGAAACCTCTCTCTTTCAAACGGTGTTAAATTTTTCTCTAAAACCTTGGTTTTTAATTTGTTCAATTTAAATCCTGCCACTTGACCAAATTCCTGGGTCCCAATTTAGTTCAGCACCCATGCAATTAGTAATTGCTAGTCATACAACTGGTGTCTTGTCTAGATATCCACATATCTGCAACAAATGGCTTCTAATAATGCCAACACATAAATATAGAAGGCTGGAAAGTTTGGTGTGAGAATATTGATGGAACCAAACTTTTTAAAAAGAGACACAGAGAGAGAGACTCAGCTAAAGAACACCTACAAAAGGAATAGCAAATGATTCACTGACCTCCTCTCTGTCTGAGGTTATTTTCCTTTCTGTCTGAAGGATAGACATATGTGCTGGGGCATCATGACAAAACTCAGTGGGTTCGAGAATGGGATGTCTCAAGGCCATCTTTTGGAAACCTTACTGCAGTATCTGAAGTCTAATATTTGCCTATTAGAAAGAAATTTCCAGGCCTTACTGCCTGCTGATAATCTGAAGACATTACTTCAGAAGACAGTGTGAAAGTTTGGTGCGGAAGGATTTTATTAATGGAAAATGAGAAAATTAGGTACCACATCTGAAAGAAGCCCATGCATATGGGTAAAGCAAGCTGTGCAAATAGAGAATACTAAATACTTTAGAACTGAATAAGGCCACGTGATCGATGGAGTGTCACGACCGATATATTTCCTTGGCTTATGCCCTACTATTTATTCGTTAAGTACTTTGTTAAGCACATTGACAGTTGAGACTGGTTGATATTATCCCAGTTTTAAATATAGGAAACTGAGGCACAGTAGACATTTGCACAATATTATCCCAATTTTACATATGGAAAACTGAGGCAGACATAGAAATTTGACTAAGGCACAAGATTGGGAATGAGTAAAAAATGAGAAATCATTTAACACTTGTAAGATGATTTACATGAGAAATGTATGGCCTTGGTTTCGACGAATGGCATAAAAAAGCCCCCAAACAGCTAGCACCTACCTAGGAATTAGAGGTCACTTTCTAGCAAAGAAGGTCCTTCAAGGATTTGGTGCTGCTAATCAAATCTGGTTATTTAATCATTCATTTATTTAAGGAATCCATTCAGTGCTATTCTCTTGCACAACCTCAGATTTATTACTAAAAAGCTTTAAAATCATTTTATGCAGACAAGAATATACAGCAAAATCAAAGTGAAGCAGAACAACAGTCACGTTAAGACAATTATGTGGGATAACATTTCTTCAGCTTTTGCATTAACTGGATTAAATGTGGCTGTCCTTCCTCGCTCTCTCTTTTAAGCTGCCTTACAATTTTAGACCACTTTTGCATAACTTTCTGAGACTTGCCTCTAAATGCCTGAAGCTAGTTAACATTACTGTCCCCGAACCATTTCTCTGTATTATAAAATGCAAGATAAACTG